GACTGAGCCACCCAGGTGCCCCTGATATCTATTTTTCAAGTCACAATTATTTAGATCCTTTGGCTCTTTCTCTGAGCAAGCTATTGCAGGACAAGTCTTTAGCCAAATTATATAGTTTTGTCAAATTAGTATTTGGTGACTTTTAACTATATCTCCAGCACTAACTCCATGATTTCGAGTATAGTGGTGATATGGGAGGTTAGAAGGGATATACTGGTGAGTATCCTGAACCCCATCCTAACATCTCAGCTACTTACCTCACTTGAGCCTAAAATGGAAACAGAACCCCAAGTGTGCGTAATATACAGATAAATGGGATTCTGCATCTTGTGACACATTGTGAATATTAACACTGGCTTCACTGGTCATGGCATCTTGAGTGTGAAAAGTAACCAACTTTAAGTCTGTCTCTAAGGCAAAAAGAAGCATCCACAGTGGTACAGCTGGCTACATAATAATGTTAGTTAATATTCTTGGCAGTCACACAAATATAAAATTTTAAAATATATTTGTATCCAAATAATTTTTAAAGTAATTTTTATAATCTAAAAATAATACCCTAAGTGCATATCTGCCACGTAAGTTCAGACTTCAGGGCCAGAGATTTTCTCTTCAAAAATTAACATGAAGCAGGATAAATTCAATAGAAAACTTCTTTTCTATATATGTTCTAAGTATGTACTGCTGATATCAGCATTTCTTGGAAGAAGCTGTGAAAAACAACATTTCAAAAGGTGGATGCACTTGCAAATGAAGGCTCATCTGCTTTTAATGAGAGGAAGTACTGTGGCTTTAGAGCTGATTTTACTTTGTTGAAAAAAGTCACATGATAAACAATACTGAGATTACTGAATAGCAAAGTGAATGCAGATTAAAGCCCTTCCTGACTTGATGAATAAAACAGTAAAAAAACAGAAGCTTCTTGCTGTTCTATGTATTCACAGCAACTCTCAAAAGGAGAAAATATCTTTATACTTGATGGGTAAAACCAGCTATATAAAGCCCTATTAGACTACACTGTTGAACCAAAACCATTCTTTTTCTCCAGCCTCTTTAGTTTGCATGTATTAAAAATTCTTCATTGTCAGCTTGTGAGGTGGTAATGTCTGGTCCTAGCACATGAAGTCTAAAAGGATGAGGAAGCTGGATTTAAAATACATCTCATGGAGGCACATGGGTGGCTAGGTTGGTTAAGCATCTGACTCTTGATCTCAGCTCAGGTCTTGATCTCAGCGTCTGAGTTCAAGCACCACACTGGGCTCCACGCTGGACGTGGAGCCTATTTAAAAATAAATAAATAAATAACGTGTCACAAAAATAATGCTGTCTATTTCAGAATGTAAACATAGATTATAAATTGGGGTTTTAGTTTCTGGGTCAATCCTGAAGATATGTCAGGTAGGGTTTCATCTGTTACAGTACCAGTGTTGTCACTGATTACACAAATAAGGCATGTGCCCCAAAGGCAGAGAATCGTAAAGCAGTGTTCAATCTAAGTAACAGGGTGATCATGAACTCATCTAGGAAGGGGGGTACACCTCAACTTCAGAAGTGTGAAACCTAAAAATAAGCAGAATGTAAAATAAGCAAGGCAAAATTCTGATAACCTGGGTAAGCTGGGATTGGGTCTTTAGAGACAATATTTTAGGGAAGTGTTGCTGGCTAAAGTTAGGAAAAAGAGCAAGATCCTAATGATGACCAAAATATTTTTAAACTTTAAAAGAGTAAAATAATTCTGAATTCCAATAAAAGTTAACTATTAAGACAGTCAACTTAGAACTTCTAGGAAATTTAATACCTGTTTGGCACTCTGAATTAAACTAACACATCCAAAAACTTCCCACATATTCACTCAAGCAAGAGCAGGCTATCATCCATAAATATCTGATTTTTAAAATGACAAATGCAATGAAAAAAATCATGTGACTTACCCCATCCAGGTGGCAGGGGACCAAGGGGATCAAATTCTTTATTTTGTGATGTAGTAAACAAATCTTGATTCTAAAAAGAATAACAACAGCAACAACAAAAAGGTGAATTAATGAACAACCTAACTAGATAACCTGAAAGCAAGGTTACGAGTTCTGGTAGGTATTCCCTGGTCATGTGCAATGTAACACAGAGTTCACATCTTAGAGATGTGTCACACAGTCAACAGATATATGCCAATACACTCTAGAGAAAGAAAAAAAAATCTTTGTAAACATTAATGCTTGAAATTATTTGAAATTCAAATATTACAAATACATAATCCTCACCCTCAAATACATAATCCTCACCCTCAAATGATCGTTTTCTTCTTCAGCTATAACTCAGTAAATTAGAGAAATACATAAATCCCCAAAGAGTCATTTATAAACAACAGTACCCAGAGTCATCAGATGGCTGAGACTAACCTTGTATTTCTAACTCAAAAAGAAAGAATCATATACAAAACATGGGGTATATACAAACATTGTGGAAACAGAGTTGCAGGAGCAGGAAGAACAGGCTGTCAGATGAGTGAAAGGAAAGAATTCCAGTTGGAAAGAGTTGATAAATCTAGATCTGTAAAGAAGACTTCTTAAACTTCTGGTTTCAAATGACCACACTGGTAGAGACAGAAGTCTGGCTAGATAAAAGGAAACCATGTGAAAAATGAGTCAACCATTAAAATAAGAGAAGCAGAAGTCATAGCGACTATGTAGGGTTAATGGGTATGTTTTGGTTTAAATGTATAATAAAGTGGAGATAACATGGTCTCTCAGGAAGATTTGGTTAAACCCTTTCTCCTTTAGTAAGATAAAATGAGTAAATAATAGATTCTGTTTTTTTTTTTAAGATTTTATTTATTTG